CAAGCTGAATCCTTGGGTTCCTTTAAATCAGAGCTAGATAAGATTTTAACAACTCTGAGCTATTAGTTAAGTTCTCCCCAAGCGAGCTCGATGGGCTGAATGGCCTCCTCTCGTTTGTATAGTTCTTATGTTCTTATGTATCATATATGGTAATGTTCACGTAAAAGTTTTATATTTTTCCTATAGGCTTTTCCCTTTAGTGAATTACATATCAGTTGTGTTCTGTGGTATGAAAGTGGCCATAACCACACAAGAAAAAACACTGACTTGCAGCGAACATATAAAAAACATCATGCATTGGCATATATAATTAGAATAAGACAAATGCTTGATGACTTCATATGAATCATGCATTTTTTTCCACATGGGTGGGCTTTCTCCCTTAGTGTCAAATCCAGCAAAGTGGTGATTGGTTAATAGTAAAGGCCCTCCCTTCATCTGAGTATGCAGAATGCTTGTTCTTAATTTAGATGACACAACGAAGTCAATCATTGACCTTTGGCCAAGGATACTGCATTATAAGCATACTCATACCCCTCTACCACACCACTGGTCACAGTTCTCTATGGAGTCCATCCCTATAATATAGGGTCATGAATACCTCAATGGTGTGTTTGATGTGTTCATGTGGCTGCGATTTGTCCCCCTGTCTTGCACTATATCTTTCAGGTGGGCATAGACTTCACAGCCTCAAATGGTAACCCCAGAGAGCCCTACTCCCTGCACTACATCAACCCCCTGGGTAACAATGAGTACCTGGACGCCATCTGGGCTGTGGGCCAGATCATACAGGACTACGATTCGTAAGTGTGTCGATTAAACACTCCGTGGATTTTTAAAAAAAATTGCCTAAAACATACATTATAAATGGACAGACCACACGGGGGACATGTTACAAACACACCAGAATAAGCCAAAAGACAACATCAAATCTCAAACATTCACCAGAGACTGGATGATCTACACCAGAGGTCACTAACAGGCGGACCGCAGTCCTGGTCCGGACCCAGAAGTTGTCCTATACGGACCCGGACCGATAGCCAAAATATTATTATTTAAAACCTGACGCTTCTATTTTAACCGGCGCAGCTTTTGTAGTCTTTTCGGTAGTGGTTTAGCAGTAGAACCGCCATTTCCCACGCCAATGAACGGCAAACACCTTTAACCGCCAAGCTAGACGTAGTTCGTCTCCTGCAGCCCTTTGTCTGTGCTAATGTGCCATTAGTGTTAATAGCAGCAGCAAAGCTAAAACTTGCAACCAAAAAGCCGTAATGTTCCTAACAGAGTGACTGGTCTGTCCTGAAATCATACAGCTGAAAAGTTTTTAAATACAGTATGTATTATATATAATATGTTGGATAAATAGACGTAGTTTATTGTTGATTTCATGTTCGTTGAAGTTTCTGCTTTTTAACATATATATAAAATAATGTTATCTGTTATATAAATAAACTCAGGTGAAACAAAAAATGTACGTTTTCATGGCTGCGTAATCTCAAGCATTTGGCATGACACTCACGCTTTCAGACTCACGCTGGAAATCTTACGACAAATCTATATTATTCCATTATAAAACCTAAAATTAGCTACGTCAAAGGTGTATTTACACGGTTAAATACAAAAGCAGACTATTTACAAGGTAAGAATTGTTACATGTGTGTGCAGACATCTCGAACTGACCATCTCACTCCAGTCAGCTGGCCGAAGTTTTATGTCACGTGACAATAAATATTGTCAAAACGTTTTTGAATTGTACTGAATTAATTTGAATTGACAGTCAGGTACTGATTAAATGCAATGTTGATGCAACTAATAGGCTACTTAAATATATATCACACTAAATAGTTAGACATTATGATATTCCGGACCTTTGCTTCAAGAAATTTTCTCTAACTGGACCTCTTTAAATTTTAGTTGAATACCCCTGATCTACACAAACACCACAGCTGTGCTAACACTATTCTACAAGCACAACATTTATATATCGAGTCTCCTTTTCCACTCATATTAGACAGCATTGTTGTTTTGTTAGTAGCATAATTAGGAGAATATGTAAACATCATTGTCAGATGAAGTTGATATTGCCCCTAAGTACAGCCGCCCTATGTTCCTTCCTCTCATCAGGGACAAGATGTTCCCTGCACTGGGATTTGGAGCCCTGCTGCCACCCGACTGGAAGGTCAGTCAGATTCCTGGGCTGTTACTCTAATACGCTACCAACAGAGATATTGCTGTAGGTGAACATGTCTGAAGTGAATGCCAGAGTTTTGTCAGCAGAAGAAAACAAGCATGACATATTTTATAACACTAGTATTTGCAAACAACAGAGTGACCTGCACTGTACTTGGCAAAAAAAAAGTAACTTTTAGCTCTCTGGTAGACTTGGTCGCCTTGAATAGATTTACATTGGCAACCAGTTTTCTTATGAAGTCAAAAGGCTTTCCTTTTCCCCCTACAGCTGTCACATGAGTTTGCCATCAACTTCAACCCCTCCAACCCTTTCTGCACAGGTAAGATGCAAGGGTTACACAAAGTAGCATGACCAAGCAGTCTAGACTCACCTGATATCTGAACAAACATTTTTCCCTGCTTCCTGTGGTATAAGGAGTAGAAGGAATCGCACAAGCCTACTCCGCCTGCTTGCCCCACATCCGATTTTATGGACCCACCAACTTTTCTCCCATCATTAATCACGTGGCTCGATTTGCTGCCCAGGCCCAGCACCAGAAGACAGCTGCGGTGGGTATGGAGGGTGTGGAGAATACCATGATTATAAAGCATATGAGTAATAAAGCATATTATTGTAGTTAGAGCTGGGATTGTAGAATGTTTTGGTTAAGGTTATGGCTGTAGTCAGTGATGTCACCATTTTACGGCATGGCAGTTGCTGTACTAGACTATTAGAAGCGATACTATAGGAAGCATTATAATCCTGGTTAATCAGGAACACAATGCATGTTCTGTGTTGTGAGTGGAGAGCCACCAATAATAAACCGGTTGTTCTATGCTGGCTTGGGTGAGTTGGCAAGACTGATATCCACGCTGCCAAGTTGTCTTTACAGTTTTGAGTACAGCACCATTACATGAAGAGTCATGGATCAAAATTGGGCAGCCTCCATACCACTGAAGTGGATATCTAATTAGATGTATAGATTGATTGTTATTGTTTCTTGATCCCTAATTCTAATTACTTATGCTAAATGCTTTAAGATCAGTTTTTTAAGATGGAATACAAAAATCCTTGTGGTATGTTCTTTTTTCTGTCTGCTCTAATGACAGTGTAAATCCGGGTTAGTTATACAGTGCCCCCTAAAGAGTGTGTCCCCTCTCTGTAGCAGTACTTCACCCTCCTCATCATCACAGACGGTGTGATCAGTGACATGGATGAGACGCGCCATGCTATAGTGCAGGCAGCCAAGCTTCCCATGTCCATCATCATCGTGGGCGTGGGGAACGCCGACTTCACTGCCATGGAGTTCCTGGATGGAGACAGTAGCATCTTACGCTCCTACACAGGCGAGGCTGCTGTCAGAGATATTGTGCAATTTGTGCCCTTTCGGGACTTCCGTAACGTGAGTGTCTCCCTCAGACCAACTAGAAGTTTTCTTTTATTTCCTCACTAGCACAGCTTATCATATATCCCATACTGTTACAAAATTAATGAATAGCAGTTTCTCTTTTGGGTCGTGATTTGGTTTGTTACATTCCTGAATTTATACCCCATGATCTGACGGTGCAGATACCGTCTTGCCTGAAGACTATGGGTCAATCTCAATATCAACACCACAAAGACCGTACTTGTGGTGTTGGCAAGACTGGTCTTGCTAATTTGCCTTCCAAGAAGAACTTGGAGTGCAGTGAATTATGGAATTGCTCTTGTTTGGCAAGGATGCAACCAATCCTTGATATTTGGGGCGGAGCAAGACCAGCATCCAGGGATGTTTGCCGTCCTTGTGCACTTGTGTTCTTAGTATTGGAACTGGTGTTTGGCAATAGAAGATGACGTAAAACGGGTACACAAGAACGGTCAAATACGCATATTGAGATTCATCCTATGGCTATAATCTGTAGGTCCTCAACCCCTCCACTATAACCGTATATTTGTCCAACACAATCATGTCAGTAATGCTTAGCGTTGTAGATGGAAAAATAGCTAGGAAAACTTCTGTTTTTTTTACAGGCTCCGAAGGAAACGTTAGCCAAATCTGTGCTGGCAGAGCTGCCCCAGCAGGTCACAGAGTACTTCAAACAGAGGAATCTGTCGCCTAGCAACTGGGCTGCTGAGTAAAGCGGCTGCACTGAGCCGCCTGCTGGCTGCCAACATTCCTTCACTGTTTACAAACAAAATGAACGCAGCAATAGACTTTTACAAAACATGTTTGTATTTACATTGGTTTTCTTATTTTTCCTTCCTCTCCTGGACTGGCGCCCAGGGCGTACCCCTGCCTTGTGCCCTGATTTTCCCGAGATAGGCTACAGACCCCCTTCCAGGTACCAGATAACCACGTGGAGGATTTTCCTGCCTTCACACTCCGAAAACCAGGATTTTTAGAAGACATGGACACTACTTGATTTTCACTGGCTGAGCAGCAGAAACAAATGACAAAATAGTATTGAATGTAACTTTGTAATATGTAATATTTCTTTTTTATTATTATTACTCCTGCTACTATATATGGTTTAGCTTGTTTTAGCTTATAAAAGCTGTTTATTGCTATTGTATCATTGCAATGTATTTTACGTGGTGAACTGTAATGAAATCTATTAGTGTGCCTTGTCAAGGTTTTACGTTAATTGTTTTATACAGTGTGGCTTTTCTTTTTACTCTCAGGTGAATAAACTAACAAACTGGATGCCATATTTTATATAAGCATTATGTGTGGAGAGCAAAGTTAGAGAGTCTCTTGGATGTTTTAGAGAGAAATGGAATGTGTCGTTTACATCTGAGACTGGTGATTTAAGTTGGGGAGAGAAATTTATGGAGCTGTCCTAATGACCATTGATGGAGGAGAACCATGTAACTTCTGACATAAACCAGGCATCTCTTCAAAGATATCCTGTTTGTTTTGTACATTGCCACTGTTACTGCAGGATGCCCATTGACTTTCATTGTACCTGTGGTTGAACATGAGTGAAAACTCTAGGACAAAAGAGCCCAAGTGCACCTACAAGGCCCCACTCGTCTGGGACAGCTAAGACCACCAGACAGAAAAATGTGAGGTTCAAACCGTTTGTTTTCATTCCTGGCTTTGCACAATTCTGAAATGCTCCCTGGGAGTTTTCATTTAGGGGTGGCTTGCTGGTGCAGTGGTTAGCACTGTTGCTTCCTACCTATGGGATCTGGGTTCAAGTCTCTGCCAGGGTGAGTTTGCATGTAGTCATGGGGACTCCAGTTTCCCCTCACAGTGTAAACATGCTGAGGCTAACTAGAGTTAGCAAAGTGAGTGTGTGCTCTGTGATGGGTTGGCACTCTATCCTGGGTCATTCCCTGCCTTGCACCCATAGGTTCTGGACCCACCACAATCCTGAATAGGACAAGCAGTTTCAGAAAATGGATGGATGGGTGGAGTTCTCATTTGCCTGAATTACACTCAACCAGCTGTTTAAAACATAAATGCCACATAGTTCCAGCAAGCCTCCTCCTTATGCATTTGTGAAAGTCAGAAACACACTGTCACTGTTGGGATAGACTGGTTTCACTTAACAGGAACATTTGTGTTTGAAAACCATCTTTAGCTTGGGGCAGACAGACTGAACTCTTGACAGGCAACTTATATGCAGTGTTTAATTTTAATCACTTATTCAGTACTGCTGTAAATTTGGGGCAGACAAACAGGTGGACATGCAAGTAGTACAGATCCTTAACTAATCAGGCTAAGATGGTTGGGACCAAAGGCCTGTAATTGCAGAGCCTACAAAGGAGAGAGTTTGACTCCTGTTTTAAGCAACACCAACCCTTAGTCTAGATCTTCACCATTTATCACTACTGGGCTTTTGGTGATACTGTATGATTCAACATTTGTGCTAAACATAAACTTTGAGCACATTTTAAATAAAAATAACAAACCTTAACAAATTATACATTTATTCATTTCATCTTCTCAAATAGAGCTTCACCAACTTATTTCATAAAAGAGAGCATGAAACAAAAAGCAGCACATTTTACTTCTCGTCTCAAAATGAGAAGTTATGTGGCCATAAAGCAAATGCATTATATATTGATAGTTAATTTTACGAGAAACCCCCTTTAGATTCTGTACAGTTTACATTTTTAATTATTTGTTTGGGAAACTGCAATCATACAACCCTTTTCCAGCACAAGCAGCTGTAACAGATCTTAGAAACACAGCAGCTTCAACTTGCTAAATTTAACATCAGGATCAGTATTTTAGTCCATAGGAGCTAAATACAAAAAGTGGGGGAGCCTGCAGGTTCCTGGGACCAGGGCCGGAGCACTGCTCCAGATCAAACACATGGGGCTGGCTTTTTAAAGGCCGCATCATACGCAGATCACCCAACAGAGACAAAGTCAGCAGAAGATTTATTTTCCACAAGCTGTGAGGACATTAAAGCCTCACACAGCCCACGCATTTGGGTTGATGCAGGGCAGTCAGAACACACTGTCCCAGCTCTCTGTAGCCAGTAACAAGTAAAAACACACACACACACACACAACTAAAATGAGTTTTTCACATGCCGACAGACTGTCTCAGGTCTGATTCCGTGTGGCCACACAATCCATTCTCTGGTCTTCAAGTTGACCTCAGCTTTTCTTTTCATTCAGGAGGACCCCAGCAAACCCAAACAGCAGGAGAACAAGGCTTAAACTGGGCAGAATGAAATATGACAAGAGTTAGATCACATGACCTGCATCAGAGGCTTGCGGCCCTTTTCCACTGGCATACAGGAACCGAGCCGTACCGCAAAAAGACACTAGTCACAGTGCAGTTCCAGCCGAGTTCAGTTTTCTACCACAGAAAGGTCGGCTCGGTAAAGGTGTTGCCAGGTTTGGAGAGCGACAGTGAAGTAAAACCGACGAGATGCTTATTTACTGAACACGCAGTGTACATCATGCTCAATTATGTGCTAGTTTCTACTAGTACATCTGTGAGACTCGCCACCTTATGTTAGCATCAAACGCTAGTGCAATTAGCATTCGCTTGTGTAAATTTGCATTACGTATACATTCTGTTCCGTGTTGCGCTATGTGTTTGCATGATACACATTTAGGCTCCGTGCATGGAGGTGTGTGCTTGAATCTCAAGCTATACCTTCACTGTCGCTGCTTGACTCGGAGTCACTGCTGCTGGAGTACGCCCCGAGCCCGGGCAGGATGCCCACACAGACGGCCGCCGACGGCAGGTGAACCACAGTGGAGCGGCCAGCTCCTGCCAGCGCCGCATGGGCCTTGGACTCTGGGAATAGACACGGTGTTTGTCAGGGGTCTAGCCAGCGCTCGGAGAGGCTGTGCTGTGTAAGACCTGGTGGCACAGTCTCACACTGAGCACCAGTGCTTTATTCTGCTTCAGCAGGTGCCTGTGGTCTGTGGCTGCTGTCGAACGGGCAGGGTGAATCGGGGGTGAGGGAAGTTCACACCAAAACGCCACCCACTTTCGATTTGGGAGGCTGAGGAACATCACACACACTGCTAGGTTACAACCACACTGCCTAAACATTCCATAGCAGCCACAGAAGAACTCCCTGCTCACCTGATTGGGTACTGTCCACTTCCGAACTCTCAAACCTCTGCTTCTTACTGCTGTCTGATGACTGAGAGGAACTGAGTGGGTGAGAGAGAAGGGAGATAACACAAAAAGTACATCTATCTATCAAGGGAACTCCACTGCTATGTACATCGTTAATTAATGGGGCTCCGTTGCTCTGTTTGTCCTTAATTAATGACACTCCATCAATGTCATTAAAATGAATGGGAAATAGGGCAGAATCTGGCAGCAGCACTGGGAAGTACACAGTTCACCATTAAGCCACTAACCTGCCTGCCTATAAAGGTGGGTAACAACATGCACAAGAAAGCCAGGGGACATCAGGGCATCTTCCAGGTGCTTTTAGAGAAATTTACTCAAATACAAACACATATGGCTACGCATGCAAACATTTGACTATAGAAATGAATCCATGAATCGGTCAGAGGGAAGGAGTAAGTAAGAACCCAGAAGCATTTGGCATTTTCTCAGGCTGTGACAAAGGTTACCGTCTCTTGTTATAAAAAGGATGCCTTTTTGTATTTTCATTTTTTGTGAAGTGTTTTGGTCACCCCCAAAAGATAGAATTGCACTGATACTTTACAATACATTTTCACTTAAACACTTTTATCCAAAGTGAAGTTCAATTCAGCCAGTCCTTGATGCAACTGGGGTTAAGGGCCTTCCTTGCTAACATTATGAAAAAAGAAAGGAGTGGTTAAAAGCCAGGTAAGCTGTGATCAAGGGCAAAGCCAAAGTCTAGTAATGAGTTTGTTCTCCATGCCGGTCTGTGTAGGCAGACTGCACCCACGATGTTACAGTTCGTAGGTCACATAGCCACTCTGCCGACCAATTAACCAGCACTTCCCACTGCACCATTCACACCGATACCCATTCAAATGTAGCTGGACAGCAGGACTGCGATGGGGTGAGTCTCACCTACGGCGCTTGACCGCTCCGGCCAGCAGGTGTGCCTGGGAAAGCATGCTTCGGTGCTCTGCTGCCTTGGGCCCAGGTCGGCGCTCAGGGTCCTTTCTACTCTCGCTGCTGGCTGTCAGCTTTGTGCGAGCGCTGTGCAGGCCAGAGTTAAGGAGGTACCAGGATGCTGACCATCTCACACAGCTTAGATGGCCAAAGGAAGGGCCCACTGCATGACATTCCCTGAATTCCTCAAAAATCGTTACCTCTACAACCAAAACTGACGCCAAATTCAGAAGCAAGAGAAGCAGGAAGCGGCTTTCCCTGCAGAAGTGAGTTGCTGAGTGAACCCAGTAACGTGATCTCTCTTGCCTAGGCCAAGCGGTATCCAGACAGTCCACATACTACTACAACCCCTGGCAAAAAATGTGGAATCACTACTCTTGGAGGATGTTCAGTCAGTTGTTTTCCTATGTAGTCCATAAAAGAAATCACAGATACAAAACCATTTTACCTAATAGCTGAACATTCTGGCTTTCTAAGACATACCTCCAAATAATAAAATTACATTGTTGCAATTAATGGCGCATCTTTTTTCCGATCAAGTAGAAGAAAAAATTATAGAATCATCCTGTAATTTGCATTTCTGAAACAAAATACCTGCACAGGTCTAATTAGGAAAATTAGTCTGCAGTTAAAAGGGAGTACTTGCAGACCTTAACGAGCTGTTGCACCTGACTGATTGACAGGAAAAATGGCCCCAACAAGAGAGCTGTCAGTTGAAACAATGGAAAGGATTATAAAACTCCTTCAAGAAGGTAAATCAACACAGAGTGCGGCAAAAGATGTTGGTTGTTCCCAGTCAGCTGTGTCTAAAATCCAAACAAACAAAATGGGAAGGTTGTAAAAGGGAAACATACAGGTAGACAAAGGAAGACATCCAAACGTCAGGACAGAAAACTCAAAGCAATGCCATGAAAATAGAAAATGTACAACAAAACAAATGAAAGACAAATAGGCAGAAACAGGAGCCAATGTTTGCGACCGAACTGTAAGAAATTGGCTGAGGGAAATAGAATTTAGGTACAGGAAAGCCAAACATAAACCATCATTAACACCTAAACAGGAGAAAACAAGGTTACAGTGGGCTAAAGAGAAGCAGTCGTGGACTGTGGATGATTGGATGAAAGTGGTATTCAGTGATGAATCCCGAATCTGCATTGGCCAAGGAGATGATGCTGGAATGTTTGTTTGGTGCCATCCCAATGAAACATATAAAGACGACTGCCTGAAGAAAACAAGCAAATTTCCTCAGTCATTGATGATATGGGGTTGCATGTCAGGTAAAGGACCAGGGCAGATGGCAATCATTACCTCTACAATAAATGCACAGGTGTGCGTTGAAATTTTAGACAATTTTCTCATTTCATCAATCGAAAGTAGGTTTGGTAATGATAATTTTCAGGATGACAATGCATCTTGCCACCGAGCACAGAGCATTAAAACTTTTCTTCAAGAAAAGAATATCAACTCAATGACATGGGCCAGCAAACAGTGCAGATCTCAATCCAACTGAAAATTTATGGTGGAAATTGAAAAAAATGGTACATGACAAGGCTCCATCTTGCAAAGCTGATCTGTCAACTGCTATACGAAAATGTTGGAACCTGATTGATGTAGAATATTGTTTTTCATTAGTGAAGTTCATGCTTCAAAGAATTCAAGCTGTCATAAATGCCAGAGGAGGTGCAACAAAATACTAAACAAATTGTGTTCTTTTTTTGCTCTTGATTCCATAATTTTTTCCTCAAAATTGAGTGATTCCATATTTTTTTCCTCTACTTCATCTGAAAGATGCACCATTAATTGCGACGTCATTTTATTTTTTAGAGGTATGTTTTACAAAATCAGAATGTTCAGCTGTTAGGTAAAATAGTTTTGTGTCATATCTATGATTTGTTTTTTGGACTACAAAGTAAAATAATTGACTGAACATCCTCCAAGAGTAGTAATTCCATATTTTTTGCCAGGAGTTGTAATTCAATGAGGTTTTTAAAAATAGATCATTTTTGCAGTTCTTTAACATGAAATTTTGTCTGCATAGGACATGCATGGATGGATGGATGGATGGAAATTACAATCAAAAACCTTAAAATTACATGACATAGCCACACTTTGAAATTCATTCTTTTTCCGTTTAGTTCAGTGCAGCAAATGAATAAAAATCAGCCACATTCAGCACACACTGATGACTCCGGTTCTGTGGTAACAGCAAAACCCAAACTATATCTGCAATTAAAGAAAGGATATCCTGTACTCCTGTAGCTCCTGTAGCTCTTCATCTCGCCGTTGTTTCTCTATCAGTGACTGTTGCCTAGAAACCTCATCCAGGAAGTTTGACTCATCTTCATCTAGACCTTTAACCATGTTTTCTGTGAAGAAAAATCAAGACGACGCCTTGGTTATGTTGGAGAGTGCACATCACACGGCGTTTTATCCTGTTTTACTAAAAAAAAAAAAGACCTTAAAAGAATAACAGCAGCTTCTCACTGAATTTAAACTGCTCCTCATATTCCTCCTGCTTCTTATCCTTCTGCTCCTGGAGCCGCTCAAAGAGAGAACGAGGGTCATACTCCTCCTCTGGTGCCTCTGAACAGGGGAAGATCAGGCAAGGAAGCCTTTCAAAAAACTGATGGAGGACTGAATGCTGCCGAGCCACCAAGACGGCTGAAGGGGAAGAGAGGAACTCACCCTGGGGGTCGTCAGGTTTCCGCACTTTCTCCCATTCCTCCTGTCTAATCCGCTTCTTTTCTTCGATCTCTGACTCGGACACAAACTTACGGCTCAGGTCCACACCCGCTTCAGCCATGTCAGTACCTAGTACACGTGCACATACACAAATCATATTATTCTCCTATATAACGCCAGATCCATCTCTCATTCCTTCAGCTCCAGCTCCTGGTCAATATGCTTCATATGCAAGAAAAAGGGTCTCTCTGCATGGGAACAGTTTATCTGGAGCTCCACAGAACTGAAACACCTCTATACTGATCCACAATCCTGCAATATAACAATCAGCGCAGTCCCACAATTCAGAGAACTTAATGTTTGAATCAGCTCCATGTGACACACATGTGCACAAAGCCAGACATTCCACCTCTCCTGGAAGTTCCGGGAGTCTCCCACAAATTGACAGCAGCTCCCCGACACCCGCAAGTGATGCGCAATGTCCCAGGAATCTGTCATTCCGCTATTCAGCAGGGATAAAATCAGCCTGCAAAAAGCTTTACCACCGCAACCTCACCCCAAATTTTACCACCACTCTCTAGCCCCAGTCAGGAAATTTTGCCCACCAACCTGCCCCCACCCCAGTCAGCAATAATATATCGACACACACACACACACACACACACACACACACACACACACACACACACACACACACACACACA